GAACCTACGTTTTATAATTCTCGCATGCTCCTTCTCTCGCCTCTGCCCGCAGTATCTGTCCAATCCGGATGAGCGCCTTCGTTGGCAAGCCAACGCACTGCCGAACGATGAATTATGCGTGGAGAACGCGATCATCCTACGTCGTTTCAATCGATATCCCCTTATTATTGATCCCAGCGGTCAGGCCACTGAGTTCCTGCTGAATGAGTACAAGGGCAAGAAAATTGCCAAAACCTCTTTCTTGGACGACGCCTTCCGCAAGACACTGGAGTCTTCCCTGCGTTTCGGAACCCCCTTGCTGGTGCAGGACGTTGAGTCCTACGATCCAATCCTCAACCCGGTGTTGAACCGTGAAGTTCGACGTACCGGTGGCCGAACACTGATCACTCTGGGTGACCAGGACATTGATCTGTCACCGACCTTCACCATCTTCCTCTCGACCAGAGATCCTTCTGTGAGTTTATAGCTCCACTTCCCCTGTCTCTTGCGCGATTCCCCTTACTCTTACTGCTACTACTAATAATAATACCTCTCCTAATAATAATATTACTACTAATACTGCTACTACTATTGCTAAATAACTACTGCTGCTACTACCCCTGCCAATGCTGCTACTTCTACCACTGCTACAAGCATTTACCCATACCTCCCCCTGCTATCGTTCTGTAGGTTGAGTTCGCGCCGGATATCTGCTCCCGAGTGACATTTGTTAACTTCACTGTGACGCACAGCAGCCTCCAGAGCCAGTGCTTGAATGCCGTCCTGAAGGCCGAACGTCCGGATGTGGACAATAAACGCTCCGACCTGCTAAAGATGCAGGGTGAATTCCAGCTGAGACTGCGTCACTTGGAAAAGGACTTGCTGCAAGCTCTGAATGACGCCGAGGTAAACATGAGATATCTATTTTTCTTCCCGCATGTGCTTGGCTTGCGCGTGGCTTTTATACTGTAAAACACTTGCTGGGCGTCTTATGCCCTCTATTCCGAACCCGCCACGATTCAATGCACAGATAACGGACAAAACTAAGAGATTGTCTGCGCGTGCCGCGGACGACCCAATCATTGCATGTTCACGTGAATGGAAAAGAGCGGGACACTCGATAGCATTTATTATGACCCTCATTAAAATCCCGTGTTGATATTTATTTCTATGTAACACTAAATTCTGCTGCCGTAACTCACGCCATTGCTTTTTTTCGAACCCAGGGTAACCTCCTCGACGACGACAAGATCATAACTAATTTGGAGACCCTGAAGAAGGAGGCCGGTGAAGTTGCCAAGAAGGTGGAGGAGACAGATGCCATCATGGCAGAAGTAGACTCCGTTTCACAGCAGTACGTACCGCTGGCTCAGGCCTGCTCTGCCATGTACTTCACTCTGGACACGCTCAACCAGGTCCACTTCCTATACCAGTACTCCCTGCAGTTCATGCTCGACATCTTCAACTTTGTTCTCACGCAGAATGACAATCTCAAGTCGGTGGAAGACAGCAAACGTCGCCTCGAAATCATCACCAAAGATCTGTTCCAGGTTGGTTGGTGTTTGCGAACACGTGTCTACTGGCCCAACTGACTAAATGTTTACCCTTTGTCCTGAAGACCTACTGTTCTTAGTCTGCGGCATTCCAAAGTTGTTCACCTTCTATACTCTGGTATTGATTAAAACCAATGCCGAGTCCCGCCGGGCTACCAGACTATATATATAGGAGATGAGCCAGCAACAACTGACAAGGACAGTTTTACAGTATGTCAGTCAGTATATTTGGAATACATGACAGAAGCATGCTTAACATTTAGCTGGGGACTCAGTTCTTAGGCGTGTTTATCGAATCGATTGTCTAGTATACCTGCTTGTTGCTGTAAAGTAACCTGGTATAATTTTTTTCTCTTCAAGGTCACCTATTGTCGTGTGGCCCGAGGCATGCTCCACCGCGACCAAATCACCTTCGCTATTCTCCTGGTCCGCATCTTCCTCAAGGGTCGTTCAATGATGGCCGGCGCTCAAACCGGCAGTTTCGAGGCTGAATTTAACGTCTTCCTGCACGGTCAGGAGGCCGCCACCCTGCTGAGCAAACAGAATATCCCCACCATCAAGGGCCTGACGCAGGAGCAGTGCTCTTCTGTTGCCCGTCTGC